CCTGGGACTGAATAGGGGTTGCTGAGTGTGGTCCTGTCAGGTCTCCAGGACCTCTTGTGCCACCTCTGCTGTTCCGGGAAGCTGGGTGGGCTCCTAACCACTGTGGGTGATGATCCAAAGCTCTCCCTGGGCTGGCATCAATGTGCCCTGAACTCACCTCGCTCAGCTCCAGTTCTCCAGATTGAAAGAAGGTCACTGGGCATGGCCCAGCTAGGCTGGCGAAACCTGAAGAGTTCAGTCCAGTGTGGCTGGAAGCTGGTCGGACACTTAACCTTTGGGAGTGATGATCATAAACTGGCCCCAGGCCTGTGCTGGTGTGCTGGAACTCACTTCGTGCAGCCCCAGTTCCCCCATTGTTTTGTTTTGATTGGTTTTATTCTGCTTTGTTTTGTTTGATTTTGTTATATCTGATGGCATGGGCAACTATTTCAAAGATGAGAAAATATATTATAGTAGCCATTGTTGATTTCTTATTATCTTGTATTGAAGTACTGTATCACTTTCAGTGTTTTGTTTTGATTGACTTTATTCTGCTTTATTTGTTTGGTTTTATTCTTTTAAAAATAAAAAAAATTTAAAAAGAGAATCTTTCAGTGGAGAAGAAGGACTTGGCCTCTACAAAGCCAAAGGAAAACATGGAGGCCAGCACTTAAAGCTGAATGATCTGTGTCTTGAAGAAGTTGGCTTTCTTTGCTTAGGAAGACATTACGCATCCCCAAATCAAAAACAAATAAACACACCTAGGATGAGATGAGTACTGCTGCTGAGAACTGTGTGGGGTAGTTTTCATCTTTGCAGTTCATTCAGGCAGCACCAACAGCAGCTTGGGATGCACAAGAACCAACATGTTTACTCTCTATTTAATAAAACACATCAGTTATACAATTCCTGCTCCTCACACTTTCTTTTTTCTTTTTTTTTTTTTTGTCTTTTTCATTTTTATCGGTACCGGGGATCAAACTCACGACCGCCTGCTTACAAGGCAGGTGCTTATGCCGCTGAGCTAAACCCCCAGCCCCTCTCCTCACACTTTCATCCTCATCCCTCGGGAGGGAGGCTTCTCTCTTTCAGGCTTGCTGCAGAGTCATTTTGTGTTAAGGTGGCTTCCCTCAGTCCTCTCAATCCACATGCATTGGCAGTCACTTCCTCACTTCACCGATGTCACCTCATCAAACTGGATATGATAAGGCCTTGCTGGATTGCCAGAATGTAGACAGACATTTATTGTTCTTCTTTTTTTTTAAACAATGTAAATGCTACTTGATAAGGACAGAGCATTATTCTAGTTTTATGTTTAGTTTAAACTAAGTATATTCTGTGGTTTACATGGAGACAAAAGATCTTGTTCACCAATGGAGGATGAAAAGCTTCATAGCCCGCAGTAGGCTCCCCAGAGAGGTTGTCAGTGGAGCTCTGTGTGACAGCACTGGAACTCACATGGCTGGAAGGAGAAAGGGATCCTACGGGGCAGGCTCACTGGGAATGCATGTGTTCATTTGAACAACTGATCATTGATCAAACAAGAGATATTTGTTGGGGGCCACCTGTGTATGCTGGACTTACAATAAACACTTTGTAGATTAGGAAACAAATATAGGCCATCTTTAGGTATAGTAACTTGATAGGTTAACTGTTGAAAGAAGCAAAGGAGCAGATCCCAAATGTGTGAAGATTCAGGTAGGAGGAGAATGTTTTGTTTAAACAGCACTACAGGGTGGGGTGGTCAGCAAGTGTCCATGAGCCTTCTCCCCACAGCCACTCAGAACTCACTTCAGACAAGGGCTTCCCTCCTTAGCTCAATAACAAAGCATGTACTTTGCTAGGCTCTAGCTGCAATGCCACAAAAATCAATCCATAGATAAACCCTGTACGGCCCATGAAGTGGTTGCAATGTGCTCATCTAATTAGCTCTGCCATGTTTCCCATTGTTTTATCCAACTAGGAAGCCAGAGTGAATCCATGCTGCCAAAGACTGGAGCGAGGGAATCAAGGAAGGAGAAGAAAGCAGGAGGAAGGCTTTCTTTTGCTCCAGAAAGGGCTGAAGCTAAGGGGGGGGCTTCCTGCCCCTCTCATTTTGCTCTTCTATCCTAAAGATGGGAACTTTGGAGCCAGATATGATAGGCTTGTGACTGGTTCACCACACATACACACAGGCAAAGCTTTATAGGGTAAGGAGGTGTTTAGTCACACTGGATTAAGGGCAGAGAGTGACCAAGCTGCTGCTTGCAGAGCACAGAGATCCATGGTTTTCTGGAGTAAGCTAAAGTCTTGAAATCCCATTGTCTATAGACACAGTTCCAAAAGTTGTTTTGTGACTGACTATGACCAACAACACAATCACCTTGATCTAGAAGATGCTGAATTTTCACGGACCTGGTGCCTTTATCCTGTGTACAATGTCCCAGCCTTGGGGGGCTGGGCCCTATTGCAGGATTGGAGGACTTCAGGTGCTGGAGCTGCTGTAGCACTTGAATAAGTACAGAGTGGGAGCAGAGAAGAGAAGAGAGAAAGAAAAAGAAAAAAGAAAACACATGCCAGCTCTGATGGGCTAAGTTAACCCCATATTTTGGCCTTAGACAAAACATTTTTCAAATGATCAATGCATCTACAGACGGAACTGAGAAGAATGTGGCCCAAGGGTTAAGACACAACATGGAGACAAGGATCCCAAGACTTTATCCCATTTTAGTCAGCCATGAAGTCTCTGGAGACTCAAAGGTCATTGTTTAGCAGCTGTGTCCTTCAAACATCTGCAAAGTAACCTAGGCAACTGTTGTCATAACCTCTAAGTCAGAGGTGTTATCTACAGCAAAGCTGGTGGGAGATTGATAAAGTATTGCCCAACTATGTGACTTCAAATTTAGTGATTTCTATGTTGATTAACAGCAAACAAAACCCAAGGACTTATTTAGGTTTTCCCTTGTTGGCAATTTCTCATTTTGTGTGAGTATTTTGTAAGTGTCTTAGGCGGGTCTTTTAAAATGAGATAGACAATTCTTTTTAAGGAAACAAGAGACAACGTTGATAACCATTGTTGATAACCTTGTACTCTGTTCTACACCATGTGCTATGTCTATCCTTGGTTTTGACTGACAGCTTTGTTTTGCCATATTTGACTGTATTCTCTCCCCCCCAAAAAAGTAATAAGCACTAAGGAGTAATAAAATCCAAAATGTGTAAATTTTGTTGTAAAAAAGAGAGGGAAAAAAAAAGAAAAAAGAAAAAGAGCTCTAATGGATATAACAGCAAGTGTGTTTAGGGGTGTTAAATAGCTGACTATATCAATGTTTTTGGATCATTGAACACAGCTGTTTGCAGTCTCCCTGTTTGAATGTCCACCTTGTATTCTTTGATACTGTGATTTGAGCAACTATTTTCAAGATGATAATATGTAATCTACTAACAGGTGATTTCTTACTGTTATTTTTTTTTTGTAGTTCTGTATTACGTGTACCCTTACACCATTTTGTTTTGTTTTGTGTTTTTCTTTTTCCTCTTAAATTAAAAAAAAAAAAAGGGGAACATATGCGGAAAAATAGCATACTGTGCTACGAAGGGCAGTAGTCACAGCCATCTGTTCACCACTGTCCCACGCTATCTCGTTGTTGCCTGGAGTTTCTCCTGGAGGATGGATCCTTGCATGTTAGTCCTCCCCTCTGCCTCCCTCTCCCTTCCCTCCTTTTCTTTCTTTCCAGACTGAGGAATCTAACCTGGGACTGACATGCCCACCTTATAAAATTTTTTATTTGGACTCAGGATCATACTAAAAGTTGTCCAGGCCAACCTGGAATTCTTGATTTTCCTGTCTCAGCCTCCTGAGTAGTTGGGATTACAGATGCATGCCATTATGGCTAGTTGTCATGCTTACTTTCTAAAGTAATCCACAATCCAACATATTCTATTTACTTTTCATCAGCAAAGTACCTCTTATCTCATTGACTTCATTTTAGGAGTTTGGAAGGAAAATCTTGTTTGAATTGAGAAATTGAGTGAGACACACACACACACACACAGAGAGAGACAGAGAGAGAGACAGAGAGAGAGAGAGAGAGAGAGAGAGAGAGAGAGAGAGAGAGAGAGAATGAGAATTAGGTTTCTCAGAGAATCTGCCTTTTACTTTATCCTATTTTATTTTTTGGAAGCAGGAATTGAACTCAGGACTCCAGGCAGCTATGCCACTGAACTGTATTTCTGACCGAGAATTTACCACTTAAAAAATCATTCAGCCAAATGTCTGTCATTGGTAGAATTTTAGGCATGGTGACCTAGATGAGATTCTCAAGTATCACTGGCTAGGTATTTTTGTCCGGAGGCTGTATCCCAGGTGTGTCCTGGAACCCCTGCTCATGGTGCTTCTGCCTCTTCTAAGGCTTCTTCCAGTTTCCTCCGTTTTTTTTTTTCTTCTTTCCCTTCCCCTTTTCTTTCGCACTCCCTTCCTTCTTCTCCACTTTCAGTTTTGCTCTCTCTTCCCTCCCCTCTTTTTCTAGCTATTGTGCATTGAATCCAGGGCCTTTGTGCTGAGCTGTCACCCCAGCCATTTTTTCCATTTTTTATTTTGAGACAACGTTTGGTAAGTTGCTGAGGCCAGGATCAGACTTGCAGTCCTCCTGCCTCAGCCACCCAGAGTACTAGAGTTACAGGCATATGCCACCATGCCAGCTCTGACTCTACTTCTTTTTTTTTTTTTTTGGTACTGAGGATTAAACTCATGACCTTGCACTTGCCAGGCAGCCACTTATGCCAGTGAGCTAAATCCCCAGCCCCTGCCTCTACTTCTTAAAGGCTCAAGTTTGTCCTAACTGCTCTGTGGCAGAAACAGCAGTACTTTCTGACTATCTCCCTGCACTTCCCAGCTATGCTGAAGCCGTATGATTATTAGGGCCTGCTGCAACAGACTTCCAGATGGAGGCTGTGAGCAGGAGGCATGTCTTACAAGCACAATCTCTTTAGCTGTATGGTTCCCTAGGAAGACCTGTGGGTGGCAGAAGAAAGGAGGCTGAGGGTAGATGAGGGAGGAAGGTCCTGACTTACAGGCAGTGCGACTCAGTGAAGACACCGCTCGATGTGCTGAGCCACCAGGCCTCTAGGGTCTGCTTCTGCTATCCTGTCAGCCCAGCTTGTCCTAATGGGCCCACAGGTGAGTGGGGAAGGTGATCCACGGGATGGAGGAGTTAAAGTGGGAGGGAAAGTGTAGGCCTAAGGCAGAGACTGAGGCAGCGGGACCACAGCAAGTTTGGGGCCAGCCTCGGCCATATAGTGAGACACTGTCTCAAAAAACTAAGGGAAAAAAAAACAAAATCTAAAAGAAAGAAAAAAATTATGTTTTGTAGCTTTGTTGTGTAATATGCAGAGGAAAAAGCAGCCTATAAACTTTAAATAAATTTGTAAAATTAAAATTTTCTAGTGCTAAGGATCAAACCCAGAGCCTTTACACATGCCAGAAAGTGGTTTACTATTGACCTGTATACCTAATATAATTCCAAGTTTTTAAATATTATGAACACAAAATTAGAAATAAATACTGTAAAACAAAATGTTAACAGTGATCAAGTCTGCTCAAATTATACAAGGCTTACATTTCCCTCTTTTGTGTGTGTGTGTGTGTGTGTGTGTGTGTGTGTGAGAGAGAGAGAGAGAGAGAGAGAGAGAGGAGGAGAGAGAGAGAGAGAGAGAGAGAGAGAGAGAGAGAGAGAGAGATACTAGAGATCAAACCTAGGCCCTCTGCATTGAGCTACCTCCCTAGACATCCTTTCCTAATTTTTTATTTTGAGACATGATCTTTCTTAGTCACTAAGCCCAGGCCAAGTTTGAATTTCTGATCCTCCTGCTTCAGCCTCCAGAGTGTGTGCCACAATGCCTGGCCAATTTTCTTAATTACATATTTACAACTTTTCTATAATAACAAACTAATTTTTCAAACAGAAAAAAATCTCTATAAACATCTGAAAGGTTAAGTGTATTATATATCCCAAATAACTTATTGAGAGCTCAAAACAATATAGCTTTAAGGTTCTAGGAGCAAAACAGTATCAACACATATCAGATGATACGGCTTGTTTGCCAGGGAAAGAGTGTTGAGAAATTTGATCTCGGGTAGCATTTACCAAAGGGTGCCCTGTAAATTTTAGTTCTGCCAGTATTGTTTACATATGTAACATTAAAGAGAATTATAGAAGGATTCCCTGATTAATAACTGTGGGTTATATAAATATAAAATAGTTTCCTTAGTTTCTAACATGTTATTTTGTTTTCTGTTGCTAGGGATTGAATCTCAGGCCACGCTCACACTAAGCATACACTGAGCTACACAGTTGACACATATTGATTATAAATAGTTGTGGAATACATGTCTATAATGTACTGGTTGAGTTACAGTAAGGAGAATTTTCTTCTCCTTGCATGTCCGAATCTTTGATAAACATGGGGTTTGAATGTTGTTATTCTCAGGTACAAAGAACCATCCATGTGCTTCAGATCTCCATTTGCAGAAATGGGGATAGACATTCTGTATGTAAATATAGGGCTTCCAATACATTTTAGCTTGGTAGAAGCCTATGACCAGAGAGAGGGCCAGATACTTCATCTAGGCTTAGAGCCCACTGAGGCCCCTAGCTAGGTACTTGATCCAGACTCTATGGTGCTTCTAGCATGCACAAGTCCATCATGCCTGGTGAGTACACAAACGTCTGCTTTAGCTCACACCGTGTCCAGTTGTGCTTGACAGGCAACACATTTAGAGACTCCTTGAGATCATTCCTGGTGTGAAGAGAAACGGGGGCCACATAGACTGCAGCTAACATACTTGATTTATTCTAAAAGGTCACAAATACAAGTCATACACATGGGTTGAGAAAGAGGAAAGCCAGCACATAGTTCCCCTTTTTACTGTTAAAACGGGACCTTGAGCTGGTCCTGGTGGTCATGCGTAATCCCAGCACTCGGGAGGCTGAAGTGGGAGGATTGTTGTGAGTTTGAGACCAGCCTGGGCTACAAAGTGAGCTCAAGGCCAGCCTGAACTGCATAGTGAGACTCTGTCTCAAAAAGACAAAAAAAAAAAAAAAAAAAAAAAAAAAGAAAAAAAAAACTGTCCCTTGATCCTCTAAAAACTGCTGTTAGTCACTTTGATGCTTGCAGAAGCTTTCTGGCCTAGATTTTCAAGAACTGGCAAGCAGGGAGTGCCTTTTTTTTTTTTTTTTTTTCTGAGACAGGGTATTGCTATGCAGTTCAGGCTGGCATTGAACTCACAGTGGTCCTCCCACCTCAGACTCCCCAGAGTGCCAGGATTACAGTAGGGTGCCACCGAGCCCAGCCATCTTTTGATATCACACTGTAATCAGCGAAAAATTCCTAAAACATGTATACTAGCTAAGCAACTCATGATGTATAGGTGTTAAAGTACTAATAGGTGATGAATATTATAAAAACAAGTTACAGTTAAACAAAAGATAAGTATATAAAGTTTTAACTGATTAACATTTGATATCTTCTTGTATTTATTAGCTAATAAGTCAAAGCAACTTGAAAGGTGAAATGATAAGTATATAAAACTACTGTATATTTAAAATGGTCTTCTTGGGTAATTTGCATCCTTGAGGCCGTTGACATTGACTGATCTCAAGGCAGTAACTGTTGGGATGTAGTGGTAGTGTTACCCCAGCATATTCGAGGCCCTGGGTTTAATTCCTTGTATAGAAAAAAGGGATTTATCTATCATTGTTTACTTGGTAGTATGACTTAGAGAATTTGCAAAGGAAGTAAAATTACCACTTTGGTCCTTTTCCTTTCACCGGCTTTTGTTTGAATAGTACTACCACCAGTCTAGATTCTCATTGAAAACGTTTAAAGCTACTGTTTGTCAACTTCATGATAACTTTTTAAAAACAGAAATGTTGAGGTGGAGCTGGAAACTCACCAGCCTTGTGTGACATCCTGAATTCAGTCCCCAGCTCTGAAAGGGAGAGGGGCATCCCTGGAGGACAATGTATTTGCATTTTGCTATCAATTCTGAGCCTGAGAAACTAGTGGTCACTTATCTGAGGAACAGAATTCTTTGCATCTCCTTCATTCCTTCCACAGCACCTTAAACCCTGCCCTTGTTCAGTCTGTGTTTTGAGGGCAGCGGGCCCTTCAAGGATGGGTCAGTGGGTCAGTGGGGCGGGCACTCAGGGTGGAGCTGGACGAGGCTGGGGGCTGGGACCTTGGAGACAGAGCCCAGTGAGGTAGAAAGACACTGCGCCAGAGACAGGGAGGGCAGCGCATGTCCAAAACTGAAAAGGGAGGAAAACGTTGATTCTAGGAAATATTTATTCTCTGAAAAAGTCTAGAACTTACTAAACTTTTCTTTCTTTCTTTAGTGCTCAGCATGGAATCTAGGCCTTTGTATATTATATTTCTTCCAACAGAAGTTATTTTTAAACTTTTTTGTTTTTGAAAATGTAGAACCTAGACTAGTGAGCACAAGGAACAGAAAAGCAACTGTCTGTCACTCCTAGAGATGTGTTTGCACGGCTAGAGCAACAGACGGCTAACTTGAGTCCTTGGAGAAGACGCCCCTGCTGTCCACTGCGAGCCACCGTCCTCATGAAGATCTGCTCCGTGCACTTACCTGACACTGTGTACACCTGGGCTCCTTGTGGCAGGAAAGTACCGGTGGCCGGTTCAGAGCAGGTGGCAGCTCCTGGGAGGAAATGCACTGTGGTAGAAGGCAGAGCACCAAGGCCTACGCTGCTGGTGCGTATCTGCGATCCCAGGAGGTTTAAGTTTGAGCCCCGCTTGGGCAACTTAGTGCCTTAGTGACCTCATCTTAAAATACAAAATAAAAAAGGATGGGATTCAGCTCACTGCAGAGGCTGCGGGGGTAGGCCAGTGATGCAGGGACTGGTGGAGGACCAGAAGCAGAGTCTTGGGGACAGGGACTATGTTCCTGAGCGCTCAGCACAGTTGGCAGGGCCACCTCCCCTCTGTGGGGCGATAGGTCCTACTTAATATTGATATTAAAAAGAATGTAGAGAGAATTTCAGAAACGGAGAACAAGCGCTCCATACCTTTAGATAGCTCCGGGCTCATCTGAATTCCAGTAGTCTTGTCAATGCCAGCCCTGGAGCTGCTCTAGACTAGGCCCTGTGGTTGTGAAGAAAGTGACACTTAAGATTGAAATTACTAGAAACCGCCCAGGAGCTAAAGAAGGAAAAGGAAATCCAGGAAGCAGAAAAGGCCTCAGGTCGCAGTGACCAGGAGACCCAGAGTTTCCTAAAAGCATGGGAATCCTTGAAAATTAAGTGAGGCAGAATAAGGAAAGATCAAAATCAGTGGCTCCATATCTGTGACCCAGGGGCATAAAGATCTGGGAGCAATGTTTCCAGGTGGCAATGGATACACAGGACTCCTAGGGTCACATGAGGTCAACCACAAGCTCAGAGCCACTTCTGGCAGGCCTCACCCAAGGACTCCAGGATACAGCTGGAAGACTAGTGGCTTTCCAGTACCTTTCTGCGCAGAAGCTATGGGCCTCCCACCTCTGGAGCACCATCCCAAGGCCCACGCCCTATGAGAAACTGCCACGGGCCCATCCTTAGTCTACAAGGAAGCTCCTTGGGCATCCAGATGGGTGCCCCACTCAAGACTCCTGCAAAGTCAAGTTAGCACTTTCTCCTGGTAGCTACTGATAGAATTGGGGGGACCAGTGGCAGCTGAAAAGATAAGAAGTATGAAATATAAATGACCTTTATTTTGAGAATGCGGGGAGAGACACCCCTGGTCCCCTGGGGTGTGACATATCCCCCCACCAGGATCTCTCCGTGGAACACTTGGAGTGGAGGCATATAAGTAGCCTAGGTTTGGGGTGGAACCTAAGGGGCATTAATGATGCACAGATAGCCCACTGGCACTCCTTTGGCACCAGAGGTAAATTCCTAGGGGTGGGGAAGATACAAACACAGGTAAATTCCTAGGGGTGGGGAGACGGAGCTCCTTGGTTCAGCCTGAGGCTTTACCAGCTACAGTGTCCTGTCTGGGCCAAAACTCTTTCAGCTATCTCCTTACAGCAGCAGTGTAGCTCAGTGCTAGAGCACATAGCTTCTCTGAGGCCCTGGATTCAATGCCCATCACTAACAAAAACAAACAAAATAAAAGCTTTGAACCTCTATTCTGCCTGAAAGAGAATAGTACAATCCTAGATTTTGGTGCATAACTTGAAGACTAATGTTACGAGAATAAAATGTGAAATTAAATGAAAAAGTATCATCAGACAAAGGGATCCTCAGGGCCAGTTCACAAGGCCAGTAAGCTACAGGCTGCAAGGCATGGCTTTTCAAAGCCCTTGTGCAGGCACCACTACCAAATTAGAGTGGTACCTGAAACTTAAAGTCACCCTTACGAGAGCTCTCTGATGTAGGAACAGGAAGAATCCAGCAGTCAGCTGTTGGCACACCCGCCTACACCTAGGCACAATCAGAAGCATCAACCACAGATACCCATCCCTTCATTCCTCATTCCTTGGGTCCCTCCTCTTAAGACACTATCAGAACTCTTTCAACACCTTATCTCTGTGACATTCACCCAATGCTTCCAGCTCCACCCTACTCCATGACAAGAAGATGAAATCTTTGTAGAGTGTTTACCGACACAGGTTTTATTCAAAATTTTCACTCTTTTAAATCCACAGCAGAAAATACATTTTGTGCATTGCAGCAGTCTTAATTTTTATTGATAAAGAGAAAAAGAGCTTTGAACCCAATTAATAGTTGTTGAACAGAAGAGTAATGTATGCTCCACCCTACCTGGCTGAGTTGGCCCAGATTGTTAGGCAATGACCCCTGCAGGGAGGGTGGAGTGTAGAAATCATGTTCCTGGTTGCTGAGGGTAATAGCTTTTGTAAAGTGATCACAGTAAAGTGGGGTTTCCCCTAGAAACCTCAGTGATTTCCTGCCTACCTGTTTTCGGGCTTTCTTAAGCAATATCAACCTCCCATTCCAGCATTTTATCCAGCAAGCTCCAATGTGAACTGGCCTGCCAGATTCTCTTTTACCCTTTTAACTGAACCTTCCAGACTTATAGAAATTGGGGGTGTGCAGGATATGCCAGGAGTTTCCTCAGTAGGGGGCTGGATCTTGATTTATTCAGCAGAAATTATGAAATAATATAGGAAGAGAGTTGCTGGGTAGATGTTTTTGGCATGAACTTTTTTTTTTTTTGTTGGATAAAGTTGCAGTGGGCTAAACCAGGGACATTGGCACATGCCTCTTATAAAAATCCTCCAGAGGCTGAGGCAAGAGGATTGCTATGAGATCAAGGCCAGCCTAGGCTACACTGTGAGTTCAAGGTCAGACTAGAATAGTGGGACCCTGTCTCAAAACAAAAATGTTACAGTGGGCCTTGTATAAGGTTGTGGTGCTGGTGGTCTTTTGTGATGGCCACTGGTGTAGTCATGCTTGAGAACCCTCTTTTGTAACTTCTTGGTTTTGCTTATTTAGTTAGTGTTGGCAGAAATGACTCCATTTTTATTCAGACAACTTTTACATCCTCCTCTCCTTCCCATTGTTTTGTTTTTGAGCAAGATCTTTTCTCCAAAAATATTGCTGGTCAACCATCCTTTAGTTAGGTTTTGTGTCTCATCACTGGAATGGGCCTGTTTGAGCGGCTGATCCAGCCTGCTTCTATGTCTAAAGGAACGACTGGTGAGCAGGAGTCAATGTCATGTTCTTTTGGCCAAGTTTGAATAACAGCCTGAATTCCATTGTTAAATTCAATTCTGTGTAGACTGTAGTTGATGAATTTCATCACAGGTTATAAATTTCATCTCTGAGTGCTGGGTCAAACATTATTTTGTTCAGAGTCATACTTCTGCAGAACTTTAACAAGCAACAAGTACAGAATTTAAAATGGAAAGTATAAAACCATCACTTCTTGGCCTTTTGGTTAGACCAAGTGCAGTATCTGTTCTTATCAATTTAATATTTGATACATTCTCTATCTGAGGACAATATTTTAAATGGATTTTTGGAGCTGGGAGATAGACAAGGAGCTTGCTCTGTCCACTCCATACGTGGACTTGTTATTGCAGTGCCTTCAGGGATGGTACACTGCCCCCCAACCCTGGCGGGGAGCACAAAGCCAAAACAAGTGTATACTTTGCAGAACTGTTTTGAGCTGAGAACCCAAACTTGAAAGCTTAATAGAAAGTTCACGACAAACACAAAAGGCAGCAAGTTTTTACGTTAAAGGTAGCAAGTTTTTACTTTTATTAAGGTAGGAAAAGAAACATGCCGTGCAGAGCGACTTTGGCTAAGTAACAAAAGGAAAAATATATAGTCTATAGCACCAGAGCAGACTACTCTGAGAAAGGAACTATAATAGTGAGAGCTCAAAAGTGACTATCTTTTTTTTTTTTTTTTTGAAATCGGATATCAGCTCATGGCTTTTTGTATCTCCTATTCATCAAGCTGACTTCAGGTTTAAGTTTATCCTATCAAAAATCTGCTTGAGTTCTCATGAGAAGAACTGAAGATAGCACTCTCTTGGGCTTCATGTGCAGGGCTTCGAGAAAGGGCTTTGGCAACTTTTTTGTGCATGTATCCTAGAACCTTGTAATTAACAGATTGCTCCCACTTTCCCAGTTAGTCTGCCATGCCCTACTCTCCTGCTTCATTTCCCCCTGAGAGACACGTATTCACATAATTCTTTATGGAGTGCTAAGGGAGTAGAGGTCATTATCTTCCTATAGCTACTGCCTGCTGAAAGAGGCAGGAGGCCCTATTTACTGGGGTTTATGCGCTCTCCAAATACCTTGGAATGCTGTGGTTTACCACCTGGGTTGAAGAAATAAAAACTTTTGAAAAAGCAGTGTCTACATGTGAAGAACTGTTGAGCTGCCTCTTTGATGAGAGAAGGCTTGGTGAACTTTTGGAAATGTAGTGTCCAAATATACAAAGGAGCAGGTTAGATTTCCTTGCTTCCTGTGGATGAGAAGGTATGACAAAAAGGAATATTAGCTAAATTATTGAGAGCCTGAGTTGTACTCTTAGCCACATTATGGATCTAATTAAAGACAAGCATCTCATGCTGAGTGCGGTGGTACATACCTGTAACGCCATAATTTAGGAGGCTGAGGCAGGAGGACCGTTGTGAGTTTGAGGCCAGCTTAGGCTACATAGTGAGTTCAAGAGTAGCCTGAATTACAGGGTGAAACCCTATATTAGAAAAAAAAAAAAAAAACTAAAAAAACAAAACCCAAAATCTCAAATAAAAACAGAAGTCTTAAATTCGGTGTCTGTTTAAACTGAGGTGAATTAGTGATCATTAATGTACTTGTATGTACCCAGAGCAATACTAGAGTCTTGGTTTTTTAAGTGGAGCTCCAGGTTTTCCAGAGATTTGCAATAGTCTTAATCCTGTGAAAATCTGAGTGACCATTTCCCATGTAGAGTTTGATAGCTTTCCACTGGATCTCTTGAGGAAGAGCCAGTTTATTGGCCCCTCAGGACCTGGGAGCAAGGCCGGTATCTTGAGGGGTTGTGAGGTCATCCTTTTTGCCTCTCTTCTGTCTTTTGATTTCCCAAAAGACTTTATTTTTTAAAAAAAAGATTAAGATGAAAGAGGACATAACAACACAGGTCAGAACAGAACAATTTAAGCAACACAGTGTTTCACCAGAAGACAATCTGACCTAACAGTAGCTACAATAAGTGTCTCTGTCCTTGAAATGTTTGAGTATAACTTTGTATAGTATTACTATACTTTGTATAGTATTAAGCATAACAAGACAATGTAAAACCATTCAAGAGAATGAAAGTATTACAGGGTATACAGAACCAACTAACAGAAAACAAACAATGGTTTCTATATTATCTCCTTGTCTATAAAAATTTTGTTTATACTATCACATATAATAAAATCCAATATTATAACAACATGATAAAACTGTTGGAGACAGAAGAAGAAAAGCTTGGTGGGACTTCAAAGCAAGACAATATTAGGGGCTGGAGATTTAGCTCAGTGGCATAAGTGCCTGCCTTGCAAGTAGGCAGTCGTGAGTTCGATCCCTGGTACCGAAAAAGACAAAACAAAAACAAAAACAAAAACAAGATGATATTAAATCATCACTAGCTAATATAATGTCTTGTCTTCTTTGAAATAGCTGTTCATAACATCACAGACAATAAAATCAAACAACACTGAATAAAACCATTCCGATTAATGAATGAAAACATTATAAGGCTTCAAAGCAATATAGTGGGGAATCATGATTACCACATACTTTTATGTATTCTTACCACTTCTTACACTAGGAAAACCATTTGGTATTTGTGAGTGTTACTTATTTCGCTTATGGGTATGGTCTCAAGCTGCGCCCATTTATTTATAAATATCTCAATGTGATCATTCTTTATAGATGAGTAGTACTCCATTGTATAAAATACAACCTTTTTATCCATTCCTCAGTTGATGGACACTTAGGTTGTTTCCAAGATCTGGCTATTACAAATTGTGGTGCTATAAACATGGGTGCACATTCATCACTGTGATACATTGTTTTCAGTTCTTCTGGGAATAAGCCTAGAAGTTGAATAGCTGGAACAAATGGGACTTCCAATCCCAGTTTATTGAGAAATCTCCAGACTGACCTCCACAAAGGTTGCACCAGTCTACACTCCCCCCAACAGTGCAAGAGAGTTTCTTTTTCCCCACAGCCTTTCCAGCATTTGTTGTTGGTAGTTTTCTTGATCCTGGCCATTTTTTCAGGAGTGAGATGGAATCTCAGTGTGGTTTTAATTTGCATTTCTCTAATGAGTAATGATGATAATTTTTTCATGTATTTATTTGCCATTTGTAGTTCTTCATCTGAAAATTGTGTATTCATCTCAGATGCCCATTTTTGGATTGGATCCTTAATTTTGGGGATCTGATTTTTTAAAATTCTTTATATGTTTTAGACAGAAGTCCTTTGTCTGAGGGACAGTTCACTAAGATTGTTTCCCAGTTTGTGGGTTTTCTTTTCACTATGCTATTTCTTTTTTTTTTAATTTTATTTAAAAGGAAAAAGAGAAAAAACAAAACAGTGTAAGGGTACAAGTAATACAGAACTACAAAAAACAAAAACAGTAAGAAATCACCAGTTAATAGATTACACATTATCATCTTAGAGATAGTTGCTCAAGTCACAGGATCAAAGCATACAAAGTAGACATTTAAACAGTGAGACTGCAAACAGTTGTGTTCAATGATCCACACAAAAACATTAATATGGTCATCTGTTTAACACCCCTAAACACATTTGTAGTTGTATCCTTTAAAGCACTTTTTTTCCCTCTTTTTTTTACAACAAAATTTACACATTTTGGGTTATATTACTCCCATAGTTCTTATTACTTTTTTTGGAAGAGAATAAAATCAAATATGACAAAACAAAGCTGTCAGTCAAAACCAAGGATAGACATAGCACATGATGTAAAAACAGAGTACAAGATTATCAACAATGGTTACCATAATGCCTCTTGCTTCCTTAAAAAGAATTGTCTATCTCATTAGGTATTATAAAGTTGAACAAAACAGTAGAGAACAAGACAAATAGAACCTAAACATTGTAAACATTACAGGACTTCAAAAGAAGATAATAGTCAAACCAGAATGGGCATCATAGTGAATCTTATTGCCTTCAAAGAAGTTGCCTATGCCCTCAAACTTGATACTATAATACAGAATGGAACAGAGTCTAATCAGTCAAAACAAGATAGTGGGAGTAATACAGGACTTAAAATCAAGTTAATAGGAAATCAAAAAAGTTACTATAATATAGCCTGCTAACTTTTTTGATTTTTTCCCCCTTAATTAAAAAAATTATAAAAAATAACTAAATAATTTTTTTAATGAATAAGGGAGAGATTGAGATAAAAGAGGACATAACATCATAACAATGCAGGTCAAAGCATGACAGTTTCAGCAACCTAGTGCTTCACCAGCAAATAACCCGACTTAATAGTAGTTACCATAGTGTCTTTTTTCCCTGAAATATTTGAATATAACTTCATATACTATAGCATCAAACATATCAAGACAGTGTAAAACCATTTAAGTGGATGAAAGCATTGTAGGGTATTTAGAACCAGCTAACAGAAAACAAACAATGGTTTCTATATTATCTCTTTACCTATAACAATTTTTGTTCATACTCTCACATATAATAAAATCCAGCAAGATACAACATGATAAAACCAATGGAGACAGAAGAGCCATAGTTTGGTGGGACTTCAAAACAAGATGATACTAAATCAGCACTAGCTATTATGATGTCTTGTTTTCTTCAAAATAGCTGTTCATTTCATCAATGGCAATAATATCAAGCAGCCCAGAATAAAGCCATTCCAATTAATAAGTGAAAACTTTATAAGGCTTCAAGGCCACATAATGGGGAATCATGATTACCATATACTTTTATATATTTGAATTATTTCTTACATTAGAGAAACTTCGGTATTCACACATGAGAGATTGATTTATTTCACTTATGAGTATGGTCTCAAGCTGCGCCCATTACTGATAAATATCTCAATGTGATCATTCTTTATAGCTGAGTAGTACTCCAGTGTATAGAAATACCACAACTTTTTTGTCTGTTCCTCAGCTGATGGACACTTGGGTTGTTTCCAAGATCTGGCGATTACAAATTGTGCTGCTATAAACATAGGTATGCATATATGACTGTGGTATGATGCTTTCAGTTCTTCTGGGAATATGCCTAGAAGTGGAATAGCTGGAACAAATGAGACTTCCAATCCCAGCTTTTTGAGAAATCTCCAGACTGACCTCCACAAAGGCTGTACCAGTCTACACTCACACCAACAGTGTAGGAGAGTTCCTTTTTCTCCACAGCCTCTCCAGCATTTGTTGTTGTTGGTTTTCTTGATCCTGGCCATTCTTTCAGGAGTGAGATGGAATCTCAGTGTGGTTTTAATTTGCATTTCTCTAATGATCAATGATGATGAACCTTTTTTCATGTATTTATTTGCCATTTGTATTTCTTCATCTGAGAATTGTGTATTCATCTCAGATGCCCATTTTTGGATTGGATCTTTGAATTTTGGGGGTCTGA